GATTATCGAGATCACATCATCTATTTTAGGAAGAATAACATTAGAATTTCATGGTGGAACAGTTGGGATTACCAGAAACTCATCAGGATCCAGGGCAGCCCCATAGCTAAGGAGTTTTTGGGGAGGGGGTCTGGGGGGGCCACCAGCCAATTAAATCAAAGTTAATTAAATTAACTTTGATTTAATTGGTGGAATTCCTAAGGCAGCCCCGGCTGCAACTGAGGGCCTCCAGGCGAGAAGGACATGCAGACGGTGTCCTTTGGTGGCTGAAAGTGCCGTCCAGTCACAGCTGCCTTAGGGCGATCCCCTGGTGGGGTTTCCCAGGCAAGAGATGTCCAGAGGTGTCTTTGCCCGCGCTGGTCTCTGCATCACAACTTCGGGGCATCCCCAGGCCCCCAAACGGCTCCAGCTGGACAAGCTGAAACCCTCCTCTCTCCTGATGCCCGATGCTCTCGGTCCGAATCGGATCCCCCCCCCCCGGGTGCCTCAGACTGTGCGTAACCTCCGGCGACTCCCAGTGCACATCTGTGTCCCAGGAGTCCGGAGACAAGCCTCGCGTGGGTTTCGCCTGGCCTCGCGCACAAGGGGGGAGGGCCGAGGCTCTCGGGGCTGCGCAGAAGCCCCCCCCCGGTCTCCGTGCTGCAGCTGCAGAGCTGGGTGCGCCAAAGAGGAGCGCTGTGTGCCTACCGCCTTTGGCCAGCCTCCAGCAGCAGCCCGTGATTGCACGAAATGGGATGGCTGACCTCGCGGCTGGGCAGAGGTGGGGAGGCAGGTAGACCGCCGGGGGGGTTGGAGAGGGGCCCGTAAAAACCGTGGGGGGGCCCCACAGTAGCTACGGGCCTGATCCAGGGGATCAGGGCTCTCTCATCATAGGCCATCAGATGTCAGTAGTAGTGGAGGCTCCAAAAGCCTGGCAGACAAGCTCCGTTTTACAGGCCCTGCAGAACTACAACAGGTTCCGCAGGGCCCTGGTCTCCTCCTGGAGCTCATTCTACCAGAGTGGAGCCACCACCGAGAAAGCCCTGGCCCTAGTTGTCACTAGCTTGGTCTCTGTAATATTTGGGAGGGCCAGCCAATTCTGAGTCCCCGATTGCAGTGCTCTCTGGGGTACATATGGGGAAAGGCGGTCCCTCAGGTATGCAGGTCCCTGGCCATAAAGGGCTTTAAAGGTAAGAACCAGCACCTTGAACCGAATCTGGTATGGTATAGACAGCCAGTGCAATGTCTTTAGCACAGGTGGGATGTGCTCCAGAATGGGGAGTCCCATCAGTAGCCTGGCCATGGCATTTTGCACCAGCTTCAGCTTCTGGTTTGAGACAAGGGCAGCCCCATGTAGAGGGCATTACAGTAATCCAGTCTCAAGGTGACCATTGCGTGGATCACTGTTGCCAAGTCGTTGAGTTTGAGGAAGGGAACCAACTGCCTAATCAGCCTGAGATGGTAAAAGGCCGACTTGGCAGTGGCTGCTACCTCCATTGTTAAGGAGGCATCCAGGAGCACTCCCAAACTCCTAACCTCCGGCGCTGGCACCAATGGTGCCCCATCGAAGGTCGGGAGCGGGATCCCCACCCTCGGACCACTTCGACTCAGACACAGGACCTCTGTCTTTGTTGGATTTAATTTCAGCCGGCTTAGCCTAAGCCAACCAGCCACAGATTGTAATGCCCGGTCTAGATCTTCCGGTTTGGAGTTGGACTGACCACCCAACTACAGATAGAGCTGGGTGTCATCTGCGTATTGGTGACAACCCAGTCCATGCCTCTGGGCAAGAGGGTGCATATAGATGTTGAAAAGCATTGGGGACAGCACTGCCCCTTGAGGCACTCTACATTCCAGTGGGTGCCTTCGGGACAGTTGATCCCCTAGCGCCACTCTTTGTCCCCGACCTTGGAGAAAGGAAGCAAGCCACTGCAAAGCTAGTCCCTGCACTCCAATATCAGCAAGGCAGTGGGCCAGTAGCTGATGTCAAACACAGCCAACAGGTCTAACAACAACAACACTGCCAATCCGCCTCGATCCAGATGCCTCTGGAGGTCATCCGTGGGGGTGACCAGTGCTGTCTCCGTCCCGTAACTTGGGCGAAAACCAGACTGGTAGGGGTCTAAGATGGAAGTGTCATCCAAAAAGCCCTGTAACTGGATTGCCACTGCCCTCTCTATTATCTTACCCAGATATGGTAAGTTGGAAACCGGCTGATAGTTGGCCAATTCAGCTGGATCCAAGGATGGTTTTTTCAAGAGAGGGCACACCACTGCCTCCTTAAGTGCCTCTGGGACTTGTTGATAATTTCCTGTAAGGCACCTCGAAACCTGGCTTTAATTTGCCATGAAGGACACGGATCAAGGATGGTAGGGTGTACAGTTAGGAGCAATTTGTTGACTTCCTCAAGGCTGAGCAGGCTGAAATAATCCATAATATGACTAGAAGACATGCATGGAACCTTGAGTTCATTCACTGTGTCAACTGTAGTGGGAAGGTCGTGGCGGAGCGACAAGACTTTATCCGCAAAATAGCTCGCGAAAGCCTCGCAGCCAATATTCAGTTCCCTATGGTTTAGTCTGTTTTGAGTCAAAGTAGTAATAGACCGAATTGTTCTGAATGATTGGGCTGGGCATGAGCTTGCAGATGCAATCTCAGCTGTATAGTACTGTCTTTTAACGGCCTTGACTGCCATCTCATAGGATCTCGTAAATGTCCTCTAAGATGCTCTTGTAGCTTCATTGTGAGCACGCCGCCACTGCCTATCTAGCCGTCTTAGCTCCCATTTCATTAGCTGCAACTCCTGGGTAAACCAAGGAGCGAGCTTAGACCAGGGGTGCAGAGGGCGCCAGGGAGCGATTTCGTCAATGGCTGTTGAGAGTTGGCTATGCCAGTCCTCTACAAGCTCATTCAACGAGCCGCCAGGGGCTTGGGATCCCGAAGAGCCATCTGAAGCTGCACTGGGTCCATTTGGCTCTGCGGGCAACCCAAAATGGGCTCACCGCCCAGACAGGGTCAGAGTGGAGTATTCAAATGGGCCTTCAAGGCAAAGTTGTCCAACCATGGTATTGCTAGAGCAGTAATCCGGTCCACTGTAACCCCAGTTGCGAAGATCAAATTGAGCGTGTGCCCAGCCCGGTGAGTGGGGGCTGTTACAAGTTGGGAGAGTCCTAGGGCCGCCATGGACGACACTAGGTCCACTGCCTGAGTAGAGGCCGCATCATCAGCATGGACAGTCACCCAAGACTATCAGTCTAGGGTGTTCCAAAGCCCAGCCTGATATGGCCTCAATCAGGGACGGTAGGTTATTGGCTGATGCGTTGGGCGTTTGGTACACCAGCAAATCGCCACCCTCTCACTTAGGATTCAGAGGATTAGAGCCTCGGAGGAGAGTCAGCATGGTGTAGTGGTTCAGAGCAGTGGCCTCTAATCTGGAGAACCGGTGACGGGAGCACCCTGAAGGGGTAAACCTCCCAGATGAATAACGCCACTCCTCCCCCCTGCCCTCTAGTCCAGGATTGGAGAAGGATCGAGAACCCAGGAGGAGCCACTTGGGAGAGAGATACTGTCTCTCCCTCTCGCACCCAGGTCTCGGTCACGCACGCCAGGTCTATATTCTGCTACTGCAGAAAGTCTCGAAGGACTGTGGTCTTGTTATTTATAGACCTGGCGTTACACAACGCCAATGTCGGAGGAGGGTCAGTCATCCTAGCCCCCCCACCTGCAACCTTTGGGATGGGACGTAGGCTGGAAGGGGGGTGAGCTAAATTGTTTCTCCATCCCCTTCCCTTAACTCCATGCCTAGTCCCACCGCTGTACTTTCCCCTCCCTTCCCTCTTCCATATTATACCTCCTTCAGCACAGTCAGTTCTCATTTGAAAATTTAGGCATTTCCCCCTTTCCCTTTTTAATTTATTAAGTGATATTTCCCTGTGTACCTGGAGAGTCCTCTGTCATCTTGCCTGTGGGTAGCACTATAGCTGTTTGACTTTCAGGCTTGCTATTAGAAGTCACAAACTGAGGATGGGTGGGCATAATGATTTGGAAACTGACCCACCATCCACCCACAACACTAAAAACTCCCAGGGTCTTGAGCAGGCCAGTTTCCCCATCTCCCTCTGCAGTTTTTCTTTTCATTAACTCTCAGATCAGCCTGGATTGTATTCAGATTTTATCAGGCTGGTTTCAGTGTCCCTCCCCCATATTTTTAGCACACTCAGGGTGTCTTGCAAGTGAAACTCCTTCTTGATCAATGGGCAGCCTGATTGTAAGGCTTTTGAGACCAGCAGCCCACTGCACTCTTAGGTATAACAACAACAATGACTAGTAGAAACATTTATGAGCAGTAGGTTGGCTGAAAGCCATAGATTTTTCTGGCAGGGATTTAATGAGCTGATGGGGAGAAATCTGTTCTCCTGACTTTTATGAATGAGGCACTAATCCAGCTGTGTTGTGGAATCAGGGATGAGATCCTGGTTTATTGATGTAACAGACATTTATTGCAACCTACACATCAAAGGAAAAATATCATACTGCTCACTTGTACTGAAACAATATTTTTCTTCTTCTGCGCTGTTAACCAAATGACAGGATTGTTAACCTCAAATGAGCTGTGTTTTTAGGTTTGGGGCTTCTGTGTTTTTATGTAGGCTTGAGCATATTCCAGATGTGAATGTCAAAACTCCTGCTGTTTGTAATTGACTAAATTCATTTTGCGATTAAATAGGCTTGCTTAATTTATTTGTATATAGTATCTGAGGATCTTAGAGCGTTTTTACACTTGTATCTTTTAACACTGTGGGTTGCATTGTTCATTTGCTGTCAAATGGAAGTAGAATTACAACTGTGGTTTTGCACAGCATTTAGCCATGCTCCTGTTGCAATTCTTGAGATTCAGTTCCAGTATAATTTCCAAATGCCTGATTTATCTTCTCAGAACACATTTGGGTTTTAAAAGTACTTTTTTTTCCTAGTGACTATATGGAAACTAGATGCTATTGTTGCCTTTTGTGTTGGTGTAGATTGCAATGCAGAACCAAATCAACACCAATCCAGAAAGTCCTGACACTGTGACGATACACGCAGCAACACCGCAGTTCATCATTGGACCTGGCGGGGTGGTAAACCTAACAGGTCTGGTATCTTCTGCCAATACATCACGTGCAACAGGTATTCAGATGCACAGAGCATTGTAAATGATTTGAATTTCACAATATTAGGAAAAACGATGGGGGATAAAGTTGATGGTAAGGTTACAGCAAGTGCATCGTTTCTTTTCTTGTCTCTTGGACATTATAAATATCTTTACTCTTGAAGTAACCATTTAAAAAAGAATTAAAATTATTAAAAATTACCTAAAAGCTTTGTTTTGGAATTGTAGTGTAGGTTGCATCTTTCTTGCAGACTCAGAGAGCTATCCTGCTTGCAAGTGCTTCCCCATTCATTTCAGTGGTGGTTACAGCTTTACACTTTCGGAGAGACATGTACACAGAGCTGCTGCTGAATTGGATGGGAGGCTTGCTTATGCGGGACCTGAGTGTCCACCATTGGCGGTCATGTCAGGCATGACAGGACTTTTTTTTTTACACATTAAACTTTTTTAAAAAGTAGTATGTAAGTTTCCCTGTAGTTTGTGAACTAACTTCATGTTTCTCCTTTGTAGATGACACAGGAGTATCTGCTGTCCAGTTTGGTAATTCCTCAACTTCAGTATTGGCGACTTTGGCTGCCTTAGCAGAAGCGTCAGCTCCACTATCCAATTCATCAGAAACACCAGGTGAGAAAAGCAAATACTGTTATGTCTACACCACTGCTTCTCAGAAAATACGTTCAAGTCGATTTTCAGAAAACAAACAAGAAAACTATGCAAAATCAATTCTCAGTGCAGTTCTGAGTGTTTATGTTAATGTAAGCTCATTTAGATTTAGATAGAATAATAGAATCACAGAGTTGGAGGGGGCTATACAGACCATCTAGTACAACACCCTGCTCAATGCAGAACCAGCCTAGAGCAGGGGTGGCCAAACTTGCTTAATGTGAGAGCCACGTAGAAAAAAGTCAGATGTTTGAGAGCCACAAGACATGAACACACACATTTTTACTTAAAAAAATATGCGAATTTGCATATTAAATTAAAGAGACAAACGCCTTCTCCGAGCCAAGCCAGTGTGCTGATGTGGCAGGGCTTGACGACCACATTTAACTTTAGATGGGGGGGGGGGAAGAAAGGGGGAAAGAAAGCAAATAGATGGGGGAGGGAGAGGTGGAAAGAAAACAACTTTAAATTTAAATGCATCCTCCAAGCTCCCCACACTGGCTGTCTTGGCTTGGAGAAGGGATTTAAAGAGACAAAAGCCTCCTCCAAGCTGGCCGGCCCGGGCGAGGGGACTTTGAGAATGCATTTAAAGTTGCTTTCTTTCTCTGCTTCCTCCCACCTCAAGCCTGTTCAGGGAGGGAAATACTAACTGGGGAAGGAAAGATCGATCAGGGAGGCATGCCTCCCCTTTGCTTCCCCAGCTACCCTGCTGGGAGCTGCATGATATGTGTGAAAGAACTGCATGTGGCTTTCAAGCCACAGTTTGGCCACCCCTGGCCTAGAGTATCCCTGGCAAGTTTTTGTCCAGCTGCTGCTTAAAGACTGCCAGTGAGGGGGAGCTCACCAACTCCCTAGGCAGCTAATTCCACTGTTGAACAACTCTTACTGTTTGTCCTAATATCCAGCTGGTACCTTCCCACCCTTAATTTAAACCCATTATTGTGAGTTCTATCCTCTGCTGCCAGCAGGAACAGCTCCCTGCCCTCCTCTAAGTGACAGCCCTTTAAATTCCTAAAGACAGCCATCATGTCCCCCCTCAACCTCCTCTTCTCCAGACTAAACATTCAAGTCCCTCAGCCTTTCCTTATAGGGCTTGGTCTCCAGGCCCCCAATCATCCTCATTGCTCTTCTCTGTACCCACTCCATTCTCTCTACATCCTTTTGAAGTGAGGCCTCCAGAACTGCACACAATACTCCAGGTGCAACCTACCAATGTAGTGTACAGTGGGACTATGACATTTTGTGATTTGGATGTTATGCCTCTGTTGATGCACCCAAGATCATATTAGCCTTTTTTGTCACCACACCACACTGGCTGCTTATATTTAACTTTTGGTTCGTACCCCAAGATCTTGTTCACACACACTGCTATCCAGAAATGTATCCCCCATCCAGTGTGCATGTTCCTAATTTTTGTTACCCAGATGTAGAACTTGGCACTTATCCTTGTTAAATTGCATCTTGTTCACATCTTCCCACTTTTCCACTGTGTTCAGATCTCATTGAATTCTATATCTTCTGGTGTGTTTGCTGCTGCTCCTCCCAATCTGGTGTCATCTGCAAATTTAATGAGTAGCCCCTCCACACCCTCATCCAGATCATGTATAAAAATATTGAAAAGTACTGTGCCTAGAACCGAGCCCTGTGACAACCCACTGGGCACCTCCCTCCATTCAGATGAAATGTCATTGACAACTACTCTTTGTATGCTGTTCTCTAACCAGTTCCCTATCCACCTAACTACCCTAGAGTCCAGTCCACAGTCCTTTAGTTTGCCCATCAGAACATCATGGGGAACCCTGTCAAAAGCTTTACTGAAATCCAGGTAAACAACATCAACCGCATTCCCTCGATCCAGTAAGCTCCTCACTAGATCCAATTGGTTTTACATCTCTAGTTTATTGCATTGGAGCTTTGCTGATCTTTGATCATAATAAACCAAATTGATTATCTTCAAAACTGGATTGTCCAAGCCCCCATATCCAAGAGAACAAGGAAATCAAACCTAGTTAAATATAGAAGAAAGTAACTTTTCCTTCCATTGGGGATTCAGTGATTTAGCAGTTTCTGTAGCTTCTTCCAAGGCAAAACAGCTACCATACCCTATCAACCTGCTTTGTAAGCAGTGTGGCTTTGCATCCAACACAGGATCCCTCTTTGTCTCCTTGTAACTTGTGCAAACCCATAGGAGAGCATCAGGCCCCTAGACAAAGTAGGAGCAGCTTGTCTTGTAAGCTGCCATTAATGAGTGGCATCAACGATGAACCATGTTGTCTCTCACCAAACTCCATCTGAAGAGCCACTGAGAGAGAGTGCTTATTATCACACTGCCTTCATGTTTAAAAGAAAAAAGGGGATTAGACATCAGCCTTTCCTTTTGTGCAAGAGGAGAGAAATGGGCATCCTTTCCCCATTTTTTAAGTTGGCAAACTTTGACTGTTTTAAAATTTTGGAGCATAAGTATGAAAGACACTAGTGATTTTTGTTGAAAGACTGATAGCATGAAACTAGAATACTCTTTGTGCATCTGCTATGTGTCATTATGTGCTGGGGTTTTTTTGCTGATATTTTGCCAATAAAAATTGGCAGCTTAAATTATGGCAACTTAAAGACTAACAGTTTTATCACAGCATAAAGATTTTGTGGAGTAGGACCTCCTTTGCCAGATGTGTGAATTCGGCTGTAATCCATGAGAATTTATGCCAGTCACCAAATAAAGATGTTAGTCTTTAAGGTTCTGTGTGAACTGATGATTTTGCTGCAACAGAAAATTCTGGAATGTAAAAAAATCTTAAAATCTGTGGATAGGTTTGTATCTGTAAATGTAAATGTAAGAAAAACTGAAACTACTCTGTGAGAAGGAAAACCAGGATTTTGAATGCATCCCAAGCTCTTAAATTAATGGTTCTTCTTTTTCCAGGTTTTACCTGACTTGTGCTGTGCAAGTATAATTGTCAGTGCAGTAAACACAATAGAAAGATTACCAATAAAACCAATAAAACAGAATAAGGAACGTAGTGTCTTCTAAAGTCGTTCCTGCTGCAGGATCACTATTAATATTTATTAGTTACTTAATTTCCTCCTCCAAATGCTCACGACCGATAATCTTTAAAAACAAAATACGTAGTTAAATACCAGTTTCCCCACACCTGCTTAATCCTGGCTGCTCAGTGTCGTCCTAAAAAGGCAAGTACAACAGCTCATCTGGAGAAATGTGCAGGCTAAGATTACGGCAGATTTCTAGATGTCTTTTAACCACAGCCTTGGAATTCCTCTCTGTATACCCTTTTGCTGTTAGAACTTGGTACAAAAATGGTACAGTCAGAGAAGGTGGTTGCTGAGATTCTTAGGGACCAGTTGCTCAGAGTAAACAGACTGAAGGCAGTAGATTTTATTTTTGAGCTTTAAAACAAAATGGTTTCAGTGTATTTACATACTGTCAGCGAGCTGCCATTTCCTTGGGACACCTCTTGTCCCTTTTCTTTTACCCACCCCCTCCCTCACTCCTGTAGTTGTTATCCTTTGCATGTAGGGCATCTGTAACTGCCAAGGTTCTCCAGCTGGTGTGATGTGGTGTTGTGTCTTGACGCTCTGACTTGTTTAGATTTCCCGTGTGAACTCAACGAGTGTTTATGGAACTGGCCGTTGCTGTTCTCAGGCCGCTTCGCGCCTTTTCTAATCTGTAACCTAAAGAGGGAAATGAGCTCATTGGTTTAAACCTTGTTTGAAGTTCCGTTATGTTAAAGTTGAAAACTTTAATAAAAATAAATAAAAAAAAAAAAAAAAAAAAAACCTTCCCTGGGCTTTGTATTTATTCCTCACAATCTCTGTATGTTCGTGATCAACCATGCTTTGGAAATAAATCTTGCTTCATTTTGAACGTGGATCTATTCTCCTGATTTGGGATCTAACACATACATCTGTCATGGTGTCATTGGCTCTCCTGCATAAAATTGTGACCACTTTTAACATGGTTCTTACAACAATCCCAATGATAAGGAAATCCTCAGAAGACATATAATTGCAAAGATTGTTTGAATTGAAGTATCATTGTAAGCAGAATTGTAATTAATGGCAAAGATGAAAGCTTTGTGTCTGATATTTCTGACATAAACCATATCCTACTGTTTCTGATAGAAAGCCTTTGGGCATATGTCCCATTTTTTATACTTCAAAGCTCTTGATGTTAGTATAATCTTGCTTGAATGTAAATGTGGATACTTGAATTAATTTTGTGCTTGATGCTCTTTGTGCTTCATCGTTGTTTCATTGACTTTTGATAGTATTTGTCCCCTTAAAATCTAAAGAAGGAGTGGTGTCTACCTTGTGTACATTTAATTCAACGTCCATGCCGAGGACGTGACCTCTAGCCGGGCTACGGACCTGGTGTCGTCCATGGCAAAGCTGGGACTCTCTCAGCTTGTCTCGGCTCCCACGCATCGGGCCGGCCACATGCTCGATTTGATCTTCGCGGCGGGGGTGGAGGTGGACCGGATTACTACGGAGGCAGTACCATGGTCGGACCACCAGGCCCTGAAGGCCCGTCTGAGGATTCCACCCCGACCCTGTTTAGGCGGCAAGCAGATTTATGCTCGCCCGCGGCGCCAAATGGACCCTATGCGGCTTCAGATGGCTCTGCAGGACCCAAGGCCCCCTGGTGGTTCGTTGGATGCGCTGGTGGAGGACTGGCATGCCCGGCTCTCCTCGGCCATCGAGGTGATCGCTCCCAGGCACCCTCTCCGCACTCGTGTTAGGTGAGCGCCTTGGTATACCCAGGAGCTGCGCGAGCTGAAGCGGGAGCTGAGACGGCTAGAGAGACGGTGGCGCCGAGCTCGCGACGAAGCATCTAGAGCATCTTATAGGACGTTTATGAAGGCCTATGAGATGGCAGCCAAAGCCGCAAAGAGGGAGTTCTATGCAGCCACGATTGTGTCTGCTAGCTCACGCCCGGCCCAATTATTTAGTACAGTTCGGTCTTTGACAACTCTGCCGTGTGGCAGACAAAACGTTAGGGAATTGGATATAGGCTGTGAGTCATTTGCAAGCTATTTTGCAGATAAAGTCTCGATGATCTGCCGCGACCTCCACGCCACACTTGAGACAGTGAGTGAACTTGAGGCCCCTTGCACGTCTTTGGAGCCGGGTTTAGTGTGTTTCAACCGTCTCAGTCTGGAGGAAGTTGACAGATTGCTTGCAGCTGTGCGCCCAACCACATGCGACCTTGATCCGTGCCCCTCCTGGCTTATTAAAGCTGGCCATGAGGGGTTCCGAGGTGCCCTGCAGGAGATTATTAACCTGTCCCTCACAGAGGGACAATTCCCCAAGGCACTCAAGGAAGCGATGGTCCGCCCTCTCTTGAAAAAGCCATCTTTAGACCCGACCGAATTGGCTAATTATTGGCCGGTGTCTAACTTGCCCTATTTGGGCAAGCTCATTGAGAGGGCGGCGGCATAACAGCTTCAGGGTTTTCTGGAGGATGCTTCCGTCCTCGATCCCTACCAGTCCGGCTTTCGCCCTGGTCATGGGACGGAGACTGTGCTGGTCGCCTTGACTGACGATCTCCGCAGGCATCTGGATCGGGGCGGTGTGGCGGCTCTGGTGCTGTTAGATCTGTCGGCCGCATTTGATATGGTCGACCACCAGTTGTTGACCCACCGCCTCGTCGACGTGGGGATCCAGGGGCTAGCCTTGCAATGGTTTGCCTCTTTTCTCCAAGGTCGGGGACAAAGGGTGGCGATAGGGGATCAGCGGTCCTAGAGGCATCCCCTGGAGTGTGGGGTGCCCCAGGGGGCCGTGTTGTCCCCGATGTTGTTTAACATCTACATGTGCCCCCTTGCCCAGATTGCCCGGAGTTGCGGGCTGGGTTGTCATCAATATGCTGATGACACCCAGCTCTATCTGATGCTAGGCGGCCGGTCGGACTCTACTCCCGATGACCTGCACCGGGCGTTACAAGCTGTGGCTGGTTGGCTGAGGCTGAGCCAGTTGAAACTAAACCCGGCAAAGACGGAGGTCCTGGGCCTGAGTCGGATCAGCGCGGGATTGGGGCTCCCTCTCCTGACCTTCGATGGGGTGCCTTTGGTGGCAGCGTCGGAGGTTAGGAGTTTGGGGGTGTGCCTGGACTCCTCTCTAACGATGGACGCCCAGGTAGCAACCACTGCTAGGGCAGCCTTTTACCATCTTCGGCTGGCTCAGCAGTTGGTCCCCTATCTTAGCCGTGAGGACCTGGCCACAGTGATCCATGTGACCATCACCTCAAGGCTAGACTACTGCAACGCTCTCTACATGGGGCTGCCTTTGTCACAAATTCGGAAGCTGCAGCTAGTGCAGAATGCTGCAGCCAGGCTGTTGATGGGCCTCTCGAGGAGGGACCACATTCAGCCTGTGCTGAAAGCGCTGCACTAGCTGCCGATAGCGTACCGGATTCGCTTCAAAGTGCTGGTTTTGACCTTTAAAGCCCTAAATGGCCAGGGTCCAGCTTACCTGAGGGACCGCCTTTCTCCATATGTTCCCCCAAGGGCACTTCGGTCGGGAGGGCGCCATCTCCTGGAAATTCCAGGCCCGAGAGAAGTCAAACTTGCTGTAACCAGGACTAGGGCATTTTCGGTGGCGGCTCCTACCTGGTGGAAGGAGCTCCCGGAGGAGATCCGGGCCCTGCGGGACCTTTCCCAGTTCCGCAGGGCCTGCAAGACGGAGCTCTTCCGCCAGGCTTTCGAGTAGGAGCCGCCGCCACCACTATTCCACCTGTACCCCAATGTCCTGGCGTATTAACACCTGACTGCCTGGCCCCCAAGGGCGGAACGAAGCGCTGGACATGGCTCCGAGGATAAAATTACAGGACGCAGTTTTGCGAGGTTAAGATCTTCCTGTCTTGTTAAGTGTGTGATGATATTTTATTGTAATTTATTGGTTTTAAATTATATGTTATTGTTTTAACCCGGCACACAGTGCCCTTGTTAGCCGCCCTGAGCCTTCGGGGTAGGGCGGGATATAAATGTAAACATAAATAAATAAATAAAGTGAAGCCACTGAGCCTTCTGTTTGCCTTAGGGTTGCTTTAGGCTGATCCTGCATTATTGAGCAGGGTGTCGTGCTAGATGACCTGTAAGCTCTGCTGTACCATGTCTGTAGGAAAATAACACCATTTGAAAGCATCTTTTCCCAAAAGCAACCTTGTTGATGATCAAATATCCTGATCAATTGTATTCTGTTTTAACAGTTGTGGCTACAGAGGAAGTAGTGACTGCAGAATCAGTGGATGGTGCAATTCAGCAAGTTGTCAGCTCTGGTGGTCAGCAGGTTATTACCATAGTAACGGATGGCATTCAGCTCGGAAACCTCCATTCCATTCCAACCAGTGGAATGGGTCAACCTATTATTGTGACCATGCCAGATGGCCAACAAGGTGAGCTGGAACAAGTGCTAATAAATTGAGAACTTCAAATCCTTTTATTAAGTTTAGAGAGGGAGAGAAAGCCCTGTGCAAACATTTTGATGATTACAACCCCCTCAGTATTCTCTGCAGCCCAAAAAAGTCTTACGAAGAAAATTGAATGAAGAATATAGATAGGTTAGAATGAAAGAAATGCTGTTATGGCGGCCGCTAGCACATAACTAATATTCCATTACCAGTGAAGAGAGGAGGGTTTTGTCTACATGGCTTAAAGATACTGTTATTTGTTGATAATTAACTAAGATAAGATCTGTTATTCCTGGTATTACAATCCCTGAACACACTTCAATCTGTAGCCCCTTTGCTCACTCGAGGGATGAGTCAGAAGTTAGGTTGTAAGAGAAATAATCATGGACACATCATAGACTGGCCTCTCTTTCAACCAGGTATAAATGATCATGTAAACAATAGCCATTGTTTTTAAGGCCAGGCAGGTTGACTTGATAAGAGTAAGAGAGTAACTAAGATTGACCAAAATCAGGAATAAGGTTGTGAGACTGAGAATACCATGGAATCCTTTGTTTCTGCAGAGAGGGGTTCTAATTTGACCACATCTGAATGCTGATTGTGTGAGCAAGTCATAATAATAAAAACCAGGATGGAAGGAGTAGGATTTCCATGCAGTGAACACCGTTTACTGCCTTGGAAGGTTCTTGTCAGGAAGTCCCAAATTAGGAAGAGTAAAGGGGCAAAGGAAACAATGGAAGGCTTTTTACATTGTTCATGGAGATTGATTAGTTCTCCTGATGTAGTGAGGGAAAATAAACTGCTTCCTTGTGCCATTTATTTGCATAAGGGAAGGACTTGCCAATTGTCTCCCATAAGGTGTCTTAGCCGCCCCTTCCCCATGTTAGGATTATAAACTATACAGGGTTGGGAACCTCATGTTTCCCTCATAATGTCTAGTTCCACCCTGAGCAAATGCATGAAAATTTTCCCTATGTTACTTGTGTCCAGGAATTGCTTTGCTGCAACTGTTGACAGGTATAAGTGCTTACTAAGATCCAGCTGTGCTGGAAAGGTCATTGACTGGTAGACCATTGTATTCCCCTTTTGGCTGAACAAACACTATGGAAGTATAGTATAAGTTCATGGAAGCTTATTGTAAATGTTTGGCTGCTGTTATTTTCAACATGTTTTTCAATACTTTGTATCTGCAACAACTCGATTAGGTGGAGAATTGCCTATTCCTTTCCCCCATTCCTCTCCTCTACCACATGAATTTTCCTTACCTTCCTTCCAGCTTTTTCGTTTGCATATGTTATGTACTTTGAAGCACTATAATCTTCATGTTTTTGATAGAGACTTATCTTAATTCAAGTACTTACAGTACCAGCAACAGACATTGCTGAAGAAACGGTGATCAGCGAAGAGCCACCACTCAAGAGGCAATGCATTGAGATAGTTGAAAATCGGGTGGAGTCTGCAGAAATAGAAGTAAGGAATCTACTAGCTGTGAAAGGCTTTATTCAGTTTGTCCCAAGTGAATATTTGTTTTGTTCTTGCTTTATAGTTAGTGTTTTTTTATTGCTGCCAAATAAGGAATGGCCATCTATTTGTTTATAATATTTAATGTGTATGTCTGTTCTCATTGTCCCATCAAATGTACTTTGATTCTTGAGAAATTATGAAAGAATATCTGCAGCACTGTCCTGTGTCACACTACTGTTGGAGGAGCTAAATAAAAAATAATTTATTTGGGGAAAAACAATATCCATTTTTGAAAATTATTTGGCCGAAGATAAAATATTTTAACCACTACTGTGGGTTTTCTTACAAATGGGTGATGTATTCATCATATATTTCTCAAAACGTAAGGCGTTCTTGAACCCACATGAAACTGCCTTATACTGGATCAGGATCAGTGTTGGTCCATCAGGGTCAGTATTGTCTATTCAGATTGGTAGAGGCTGTCCAGAGCCTCAAACAGAGGTCTTTCACATCATCTATTGCCTGGTCATTTTAACTGGAGATGCCGAGGATTGAATCTGGTACCTTCTGCATACCAAGCAGATACTCCACCACTGAGCCACACCCTCCCCTTAAACCCACATGAACTCTTACACCCAGAACTTTATGTTTAATTTCAGTCTTATTTGGACCCCCAAACCAAAGACCTAATGTTAATCCACTGTAAATACTGCTTTGTGCCTTGAGTACAATATGGGAAGATGCAGCATGTTGATCTAGTAAATGTTAAGCTAATGTTTTTCTTCAGTGATCTCTCCTTTTAAAACGTTTTTAATAAGCCTTCAGGGGTATAACTTTTAATACAGAATTTTCTTATTGGATATTTTGTTTGTATGGGTAAAATATTACTAATGTTACTGAATCTTTTTGTACACCAAAGGATCAGACTGAATTTTCTTTATTTAATGGTCCTTTATAGCAGAATTTCAATAATAAGAATTAGTTGATCAAAAAGTCAGCTGTAAGTTCAGATATCATTTGAAATTTACACTTTGAGTGCTCCAAGGGTGCAGAGCATTCTAAGATTCAGACAAGAGTATGGCTTGTGCAGAGCTCAGTATTCTTATAGGGCCTTCTCAATTTAATATAATTAATTGCCTTCCCTGTGAAATAAATGACTTACTGGTTTTACTGTACTTAGATATTTCAGTATTATTTACACAATAGCAGCAGTGTGCATACTGTTTCACATGGCTTCTTACAGATTTCTGTAAGCAGAAAGACAAGCTCCTACCCCAGGGGGTTCACAAATCTGTATTTTGACTGTCAGAAAGACAATACAGGGAGGAGATGGGAGGGAGAAGCAAAGACAGCTAGAGATAATTGTGTGTCACACTCTGGATTAGCGGAGGGTTCGGTACGGTCGTGAGTCGACTCCAGGTTGGGAGGATAAACCCCAGGGACAGGTTTTGCCTCAGAATTGTTGTCGGACTAGTTATCATCACTAGCCACAACGGAGAGAGTTCACTTAGACGAGTACGAGTGGATCCGTCTTCCTCCTCTCTGTCTTCCCGTGAACTCTCCCTTTTTCCTCCCTGGCTTCACCTGTGTGGTTCTTTTATTTGTTCAGCCTCCACACCTGTTTCGCCCACCACCCATTTCTTAAAGTAACCGAGCAACCAGCCGGGGTTCCAAGGGGTTTTGGTCTCTACCTTCCACCCTCCAACCCTGTCTCCAACGGTCGGCTCCCTGACGACCCGTCCAAGTGGTCCCTCGGCCGCTACACCCTCCCTTCTTCGGGTTGTCACCTCTCTGTGGACATTGATCCAGGGTCCCGGGACCCCCCGGGAACGGTCTAGGACCGGTTTCTCGGCACTGACGAGAGCTACGGGGTTGATTCCCTGCGAAGTCAGGAGGGGGTTGACATCGCCCTCCTGACATTGTGAAGGAGAAGAAAAGAAGAGATTGGATTTATACCCTGCCCTTCACTACCCACAGGTGTCTCAGAGCGGCTTACAAACGCCTTTCCCTTCCCCTCCCCACAACAGACACCCTGTGAGGTAGGTGGGGCTGAGAGAACTCTTGACAGAAACTGCTCTTTTTCAAGAACAGCTCTTATCAGAACTACGGCTTGCCCAAGATCACCCAGCCAGGTGCAAGTGGAGGAGTGGGGAATCAAACCCGGCTCTCCCAAACTGGCTTTGTTGTGGGCAAATGCGATTGGGCTCTATTTCTGTGGTGGAGGGGGACTAAGAGATTAGGCCAAAAGTATGATGGAAAAGGTGGGTACTGTAGAAGGGTGTGAATGCAGGGAGGGTGTTAGCACACATTTATTCAGAGGGCGAGTCCCAGGCCTAAGTGGCCACAAGTGAGAGGGTAGACTTCAGAGGAGGAGGCCTCTGGGATTATCAGAAGTATCATCTGATCAGCAGTTATCTACAATGCCATCCTAAACAGAGTTACATCCTTGTAATCCCACTGACTTCAGCAGACATAGAGGACTCTGTTTAGGATTGCACTGTGAGTACCCAGATTGCTACAGTTTTGGATGTAAGGCACAGTTTCAATTGGGTGATGTCAAAATTTCCAGCAGAATAAGAATTTGGAAGAAGGGGACACCACCACTCCCTACAAATCCATAGCATTGGGGAACAGGATGAGTAAAGGATCTCTAAAACTGTGCAGGAATTTGCTAGCTCAGTTGCAGCTCTAAACATGCTTAGCTGGAAGGAAATCTCACAAAAATATCAGTGACCCTTACTTCCCAGCAGGTGTGGTTAGGCTCACAGTGTAAGGGGGGAAAGAGCTGATGTAATAGAGGGAAGGGGTTTGTATTGATTGTCATTATTTTGGCAGTCTCATTTCAGCAAAGTCGTGTTTGCAGCTGGGCTTCCTCAGTAGCTTTTATTCAGTGATTAAAGTGGAAACTAGGGATGAATTTTGCTTATTCATAAAAGCATGGAGTACTTTTAAATAAGGTAGGGAATTTTGGTTTGGGTAAGGATCAAAACAAAGCCGCTTCCAAGGCAATTATTTTTAATAAGATAGAACCACTGCCTTTTGCATCATGTAAAATGACAGAATCTCCTGATCTGATCTTTTGTGTTCAACCAAAAAAATCCCAGTCCAGCATATATCAAGGGTGGAGGAAACGTCTGTTGCTTTGAACTCAAGTATCTTCCTTTAAGAAGAATCCATTCTCTGTCATCAAAAAGAATTAACATTGAAGGATGGATCAGCTTGGTCAATGACTTGATGTCATTTTGTTTCTTAAAGGAAAACCTACATAAATTTCATTTAAAGAGGAACATCCTCGGAGAAATAAATTTATGTAAGAATCTCAGGTAGATAAGAGAATAGTAATGTGAGTAAAGTACCAGAGATCACAGTGGCCTCAACATTACCTTTTGATAATTGTGCTATATGAGGAATATATATAACAGGAATGCGGAATATTTTTGCCGTCGTTGGGAGTAGAGTGAAACTTGATGTGTTCAATCAGACAGCAGTAGCACTTTACCAACAGGCCTCCTTTCTTTTCCTTCTGCAGTGCCTTGCAGAAAGGTACAGTGCCATGTTACTACAGAAGCAGCCTAGGGATTTGTTGTGCCTCTCCCATTAACCTTGTAAGACTTTGCCATTTCTCTTCTCTTCCCCTCCATCTTTCCTTTTCCCCATTCTGTTATCTGGGTGTGGTGCAATGGACTGCCCTGTTCCCATAGTATCTTGCAGGAAGGAATAGCTAGCAGGTAACACAGATCAAGTTTTTATGTGTGTAGAAGAAGCCCTGTAGTGGGGGATTGAGCTAGGATAGAGAGACCAAGGTATGGGAATGAGAATAAGGGCCCCAGGTATGTTCCATACTTTACTCTTGTTTTTCCTGCTAGTTTCCTTGGTCTGCAAATCATAAGCAAGTGTGTCCCTCCTGTCCTTGGTGATATGTTGCAATAGACCTTGGGAGCAAGTGGCTTATTTGTTCTGATGTCAAAGGGGGTAAGTCTTGAGCATAGGAGCCATAACCCATGTAATTGCCACTGGATAGCAGCTCTTATGTCACAGAGGGGTTCAGCAGGCTAGCACATAGGAGGTTTAAGACTCTGTAGAGTTTGTATCCAAAGATACATTTCCAGGTTTTGATAAGTCAGACATCCTGAATATTGTGTCCACACCACAGGCTTCTGAATGACATTTGCTTGCACAAGTCATTTGGGTTGTTTTTTGGTGGAAGGATGTGGCTTACAGAATGTGATAGAATAAAGTGGGAAAGAAATGTAAATTGTCCAGCAAACATACTCTCAACAAACGTATTCTCAACAACACTCTCTGGACAGTGATTTGTTTATTGAGAGATGTGCATGTGTCAATCTAAGACCATTTCTGTCAGAACCAATGTTCCTGCTAAGCTGTGGAGTCTCGTGAGCAAAAATTCTACTTTGTGAGCTACTGGCATTAAACTTGTGAGCAAATGATTTGGCTACTGCATAAATTAGTTTGCTCTGAAGCTGTCCTTCCTGAGCGAAGACAAAAATGTGTGAGCCAGAGGCTAAAAAACTGTGAGCTAGCTCACACTAACTCAGCTTAGAGGGAACATTGGTCAGAACTAAGGTCTTTGGCACCAATTCTGGAATTATACATGATTCAAACAACCCCCCCCCCAGTGACCCATCCAATCAGTCCATTAATTCAGCTTGCCTAAAGTTAGAGCACACTGTTAGTCCTCCCCCCCCTTGCAAACCTACAGCTATATTATCTATGACAGGCTGGCTAGCAGAGACAAGCTTCCAAGGTCATTCCACATTCTTCCTGTTCAGGAGGCCTCTTAAGAAAACAGTTCCCAAGCTGTTAAGCAAAGCAGGTTCTCACTCACTCTCCCATCTTACCCCCCCACCAATGCCCAAGTACAGGTCATGAAACTGGAACACACAAAATTTATGGCAAATGAGGCTTTGAGTGACAATTCTACTGAAAAGGAAAACTGTGTTTTCTTAGATACCTGTGACCCAGTCCCTCAAGCGGTGTTTACTACACTTGTTGCTCTGGTTCCAATGTACTTACATAGGTTGGTGGGAGTAGGAAAAACAGATTTGAATACAAGGACTCAGGCTTACACTGATTAAGAAGGCAGACTTCTGTCTAAGCCACGGTGACTATAAGTCCCATAGATGTCAACATAATGTTTATTTTCATGAATAGGATTATGCCCTGTAAAGTTTTAAAGCAGTGAAGTCCAGCTTCTCTGGCCAGAAGTATCAATAGTGCAGTCCAATGGATAGATAGACAGGTATGTATTCCTGGCAGTTCTACCTCCTTCCTAGAGCTTTATTACAAACAAAAGGCTGCAGGCAAGTTGATGGGTTATCTGGTTTTCATCCAAGGCAGCAGCTGTCTGTGAACTACCAGAAGTCACTGGCAGCTGTTTTAGAAATGATGATACTCTGCTGATTAAAACATATAGTTTTTGTGCATCCCAAAAGCTCAGTAAAAATGAGAATGGCTATTTCACTAGGCTCTTTTCCTAAAGCATTCACAGGATGGGGCGACAAAAGTCAATACATTCGTCCCTGATATGGCCAGAAAAATAGGGGAACAGTTGCTGGACTTGACTGAAAGATCATAGAGGATGTTGTGTCACATATAAGCAGAAAAAAAACTGTCCTCTCAGGGGAAGCATGCTGAGAAGGGAGTCTAGAGACCCAGAATAGAGTAGCTTTGAAGAATAGTAAGAAGACAGAGTGGCAACAGTTGTATAGATCAGAATTCGTCTAACCCATTACCAATAGATACAATTTATTGAAACCCAGATGCAGAAGCGTCTGAGAATTGGCAGGATTGTCCAGCTTTACAGAAGTGAAGATTCGATTCAAGATGTGAGTATTGCTTGAGGGCCTGAAGATATTCATATGTATAGGAAATCTGTGATCATTATTTTAAAATAAAATTTGTTAAGATAAAAAGTTCCAAGAATGAACTAACATTCTTTATATATTCTAAGAAGGTAGTTTAATTAGAGAACTTGGTATGGTCTTTTAAGTTATAAGATAATGAGTAGTTTAATTAGAGAACTTGGTATGGTCTTTTAAGTTATAAGATAATGAGTTAGTCAAGAATGTGAGCCCTTATCAAGTGAGACAGTTAGCTATTGCTAGGAGATGACTTTAAAATCCTATAAATAGGGAAAGTTGTATTGATCAAGAGCTTCTTCTCAGGCGGGATTCCTTGCCTGTGACCTGCTTACTTTGGGTAAGAACCTTTAATAGTGGTGGCAGCCCTGGCCTGGTTAGCCCAGGCTAGCCTGATTTTTTATGGACACATGTAATTGCTCTCCTTTCATTATATATGTAGCAATGATGGATGGATGGTTTAATGCTTTGTGGATTTAGTGTATGTTAAGAATGCAGTACTTATGCTTTAGTTTAAAACAAAATCTTAGCATGGAAGCAGAGATTCTCTAGTAGTATTTACTTGTACGCTATATCCAGAATAAAAGTATAGCATTACTGCAGTGTATCTCTGTCTAAAATGATTTGGTGTAGAAAAACTAACTAGACACCTAGGGTTTCCTAAGTGCACACCTGTATCTGAATCAGGCCTGATCACAGTCATCCAGAAAACATTTCACAAAAAGATAAAAGGTGGCAGAGAAGTCAGTACTTTCTCCCACTTCCTTATTCTTAAATCCCAATGAAATTTTGCTGGCCATAACTCCCCTTATCAGATCTAGGAAGCTTTATAAGTGGTATTCCAGCAAGAACAATCAATTTCTTTGTTGATTTACATGAATTACATGTTCAACAAGATCTTTCTGTGGTTTGTTTTAACAGGAAAGAGAAACTTTACAGAAACAGCTGGATGAGGCCAACCGGGAGGCGCAGAAGTATCGTCAGCAGTTACTAAAGAAAGAGCAGGAGGCAGAGGCCTATCGGCAGAAATTGGAGGCAATGACCCGCCTTCAGACTAACAAAGAAGCTGTTTGAATGGCTTGAAGGGAGCATTTTGAAAAGCCAGTTAAGAAAACCCGCAGTACCATCTGGACCTGTCTGCCACAGTAATTACAGACCCAGGAATTATGCACGAGAGAAGATGCTACGGGTTTGAAACTGGACTTAAAAAGCCATGCGTTCTGATGAAATTCTTGTATCATAAAAAACCAAACTCACTCAAATTTACACATTTTGTGCAAAAATATTTAAAAATACTGTAAATAGTTGTTTTTTTACAGTTCCAAAATTAGTTGCTTAATCTTTTTGAAGGGATCCACAAACATGCAAAGCCAATGTTTTTGTGAGTTTTTTGATTTTATTACAAAATTGCTTAAATACAGAGCAGTTTTAAGGGTGATAACTGTTGATTTAAACTGACAGTGTAAAAATAGATTATGTGAAAGAACCAATCCGGAAAGCTAGCAACTTAAGCCTCTGAGAAACTGCATTTTCTGATGGAATCCTTTTGTACAGCTTTAAGTAGTTGTCTCAACCTCTGAAAACCATGTTTTGTGTATTTTTTTTTGTAGGAAAACTGTAATTTTTTATATTTAATTTCTGGTATATTCAAGTAGATTGACATGTATATGAAGCTGATATTTTTTAAACGTTTCAGTTTGTACATATGCTGCATGTTTTTATAATTTCTATACACATCTTACATAAGTATTTTTCAGGAAAGCGTGGGGGAAATTATGACAAAAAATGTTTAGCCTATAGGACATGGGGGAAGGGAAGCCAGTGGACAGTTTTTTGTTTTTAAATTGGGAGTGGCATTTCTTGGAAGAATGTATGTTGGCAAGGAAAAAAAGTAAGCCAAAATCAGTACTCCTGTAATATATTAATCATTTGGAAATTTGGCACCTGGGAGCATAAAATCCTGTTTCCAGCATGTCTTCATTGAACCAGGGCCACGTTCCTGCAAGTAGAGATCAAAATATGGAGCTGTTCTCAGTAAACTTCTAGCTTAACATTCCCTTCCCTGCCACACCACCTCCATGGTTGATAAACTGTGCTGGAAATGCCACAGTTTGGTGGCCCACTTACTTTACAGCATAATAAGGCAGAAGTGGTGAAGCCCCCTAAAGGATATAGGGCACTATCTTGGGGTGGGTGGTGGGTGGGGATAATGGGCTCTCTTAAACAGCTATTTGTACACATCTCTGGATTAATTTGGTTGGTCACAAATGAGCTTCTCTGCGTGCAACACAAGGCCAAGTAGCATGTGTGGAATGGCAGAGGTGCGTTGGGCATGGAGATGGTGTGCTGGGCAAGGAGAAGGTTAACTAGGGAGCCCTTTTCTGGAAAGCCCTTTTATACCTTGCAGGTCTGTAGCCTCCTGCTGGAATGGCCTTTCGACTGGCTTGTGTTCAGTTAAACAGGGACTGCATGGCAAAGCTTCCGTGCTCATGTGCTACCGCTGTTTAATTACTGCGGTAGTTTCAGCTCTTGTTTGTTTCACTGGGGTATGCAGAAGAGTGCCTCCTTCTGTTGATGCTTTTGTGCCCTTTGTCTCTGCACAGCAGTAACAGAAATATTATTTTCATTGATTTCTTCAAACAACAAACCAAAACGGAGATTGCCCTCATCATGAGTTCTAGAGGCAGATTTCTACATTTAAAATAACATTTTTTTTAAAAAAAAATCTGGTTTGACACTGTTGTCACCTGCACTTGTTTCTATGATAATGTTTTGTGTTTGTGCAGTAATCAAAGGCATTATACTTAGCAGTTCCAGTGTAAAGTTGACTTTTTTTAAAGCGTTATAATAGCAGTTGATAGGATGACAATCCTAAATGCTCTTAAGTGTTTGGAGTTCCTGATTATTGGAAATAAGTGTGGGGTTTTTTTAGGATTGGGACCCCCATCTTTAGCACATCCCTGAGAGGTAGATAGCATTTGTACCCAAATTGGGATTAATCGGAACACAATAAGTAGCATACCAAGGGCCGCACAACTCAGGCATTGTCTACATATACAGCAGAATGAAGTGGAAGGGGACTGTACCATTTGAGACTGCAAGTGGGAGATTTCATTTTGAATGTTCGCCCATTAAAAAAACCCCGCTACCTTCATGCAGCAAACTAGTGTATTAGGGAAAGCCATTCTACCCCTCTCCCTGACTAATTAATTTTCTTCTTGCAAGAAATGTTTTACACTGGGAAGTATTCATAAATGGGATTTTACTGCTGAAGTATTCTCAAGTGGCATAGCCTATTCTACACCTCAGGGCTCTGCCACCTCATTGTGCTGTAGCGGCAGAACGAGAAAATAAAATTCAGACATCTTTGTGGCTCCTAGATTTTCACTTAAACCACACTGCCTTAAAGATTGAGCGCATCACACATTGAACTACTGTGCAGCTCCTTTATTTCAAAATATACCTTGTTTTTGATTTGTGCTTTGCTGTGTCAGTGTTTCAGTGCTTTTATGAAAATGTATAACTGTATAAATCATCTAGATTACCTATACAAAATAATTGCCCTTAAAACTGTACTCTGGCCTACTTTTTCTATTTACAATTAAATATCTTTTCCACACGTGTGGTGTTGGATCCTTTCCCTTTCAGATTGTTACAAATATGTAAATATAGTCGGGGTCCTCAATCTTTTTGAGCCCGTGGGCACCCTTAGATCCACTTCTGGTATTGGGACCACTTGGGAGAAACAAACTGCTGATGAGACAAGTAGTCCATTACAGGGAACCATTTTTCGGTGAAGTTGTCCTTCGTCGCAACAAGTGATAGGGCATTCAATTTGCTTGTTACAGCTTCCATTAAATAATGGTTCCATAGCTTTTTAAACCATGTTTCCAGGTTGGGGGCTTTAGGATCTTTCCATAGTGCTGCTATGGTAGTTTTAGCTGCATCAAGCATGATCTCGATCGTATCTTTATGTGGTCTGGAATTTAATGCTTCTGGCCATATATTTAAAAAGATAATTTCAGGGGAGAATGGGATTTGAACAAATGTTATTTTGTGGATTATGTCTAGAATTTCTAGCCAAAATTGTTTTACTTTTGCGCATTGCCACCAACAGTGAGCATAATTACCAGTTTGCTGGCACCCTTTCCAGCAAAGAGGAGAAATGTCTGAATGTGTGCATCAGTATTGTTTCTATGTGATTTATATTTTCATAATTAAAAGACAGTAACAACAGCCTCGACTCCTTTTACTGGCAAACCTTGGTGTGGACTGGACCTTGGTATAGCTGGCAAGTAGATTAAAATTTGCCAACTGCTGTAGATAAGGCAGTTTGGCTAAAATCCCTGAACCCTGCCCTCTTCAGGATCTGCCCACAAAATCTCCAGGTATTTTCTTACCCGGAGCTGGCAACCCTACTACCACGTAAATATGTAAGCAACCAATGAAAGCCAGTGTGGTGAAAATGGGAAAATACGGCAGTGCCTGTTATACAGTCTGCAGTAATGTTTTTATTGCTGTCTTTGTTCTTACAGCTTACAAACGAATGAATGAGCATCGGAAAGTCATCCACGTTGTGTAACCTCATTGTGATGTCTTAACTCTGGCACACTCTGAGAGTCGGAGATGTGCCTCTACACAATCAAAAACAGAAAGGTGATTGTGACCTTGAAAAAGAAAGAATGAATTGTTGGGAACTGCCATGCCAGCAAAGAGACAAGATGTAAATGCCAGAAGGGCAGTGTGTGCATAGTGAATACAGAAAAACTTTTTTTTAAAACTTATTTATTTGTAATTTTTCAACATACCCTCAAAGGGGGATTTACATACGAAACAAGTAGTAACAACAAGGTCATGAATACAAGTTTAGGAGTTCTACATAGGTATTACTACAATTTATTGTTGTTATTATCTATCCACTTATAGAATTTTTCCCATCTCTGATTGTACATTGTTACATCTCTATTATGCAGTATCATAGTCAGCTTATCCATTTCTACCGCTTCCAGTACTTTAAATACTGATTCTTTCTTAGAGGGGATGCCCTCTTGTTTCCAATATTTGGCAATGAGGATACGGGCCGCAGTTAATATATACGTGATAACACGTTTTGTATTTTCGGGGTATTCGTCAGCGTCATGTTTAAAATAAACAGTTCTGGAGTGAAAGGTATCACTCGATCCACAATAACTGAGATAAATCTGTAAACCTTAAGCCAAAAGCTCTGTATTATGGTACACCTCCACCAAGTGTGAAAGTATGTGCCCACATTATTTTTACATTTCCAGCAGTTATTGGAAAGGTTTGGGTAGCCCTTAGCTAGTTTCACAGGTGTGCCATCTGTGGGCCATTTTATACACGTTTTCTTTATAGGGAATAGATCGCAAATACTTCATTAATCCCCATGTCTTGGCCCAGGTGTCTATATTTATATCTTGAGGGCAACCGAGATCTTGCATCCAGGCAATCATAGATTTTTTAACTATTTCGTCGGCTACATAATCGTCAAGCAGAAAGTTGTATATTTTCTGTATAAGTTTATCATTCGTAGATAGCCAGAGCAAGTCCAATTCTGTTTTTCCGCGGTAAAATCCCCTGCATTTGTTTATGTTATATCTTGCCTTTAGTTGGAGGTACTGTAGCCATGTCGATATTATTTTCTTCTTCTTAAGAATATCTTGCGAAATCAGATTATCTTCTTTATCCCGCAATTCTTCGTAGTTTGTCTTTTTAGGTGAACACATTAGTGAGGGTAATGAGAAGGCTTCCAGTGGGGCTACCCAACTTGGGGTTTTTGTATAAAAACGGGGTCTGATTTCTTGCCAGGTCTTACTTAATGCTCCTCTTATCGTATGTTGTTTGAAGACAGGGTGTATTTTATCTTTCTCATACCATAAGTATGCGTGCCATCCCAGAGGCATGTCAAAACCTTCTAATGATAAGAGTCTTTTGTTTTCCAGAGTTACCCATTCCTTAATCCAACACATAGCTGCTGTGGAGTAGTATATTTTCCAATTTGGTAACCCAAAACCTCCCCTTTCTTTTCTGTCTTGCAAGATTTTCCAATTAATGCGTGCTGTCTTGTTTGACCAGACAATTTTTTTACACATTGCATCTAACTCCTTAAAAGGTTTCATGTTTCTGAGTACCGGTAAGTTCTGCACAAGGAAGAGAAACCTTGGTAAGATGTTCATTTTTATTAGGGCTATCTTGCCCATGAATGATAGCCTTAATATCTCCCATTTCTGTAGATCTCTTTTTATATCTTGGA